AAATAACATTGTCAATGTGCATTGTAGAAACTCATGAAGGCTCCACATTTTTAGTCTTGGTTTTACCATTAAACTAATAAATACCATTCATGAAAAACACCCTGCCATCTTTGTATCCAGTGCATAAAATGAAAACATCCCCAGTAAGCTTAGGAAAAGAACAGAGTCTTTTGTCACCATTCCTGTTCCATTTAGCACTTGCTTAACTGACCAGATCAATCAAAGAAGTTAATAAAATAAAATGAAATTGAATAGGAAATGAAAATGTCAAATATTGATATTTGTTAAGGAGAAAACATTTACAGACAATCCATAAATCTGCACCAATATATTCTTAGAAGTAATAAACAAATTCACCTACGTGTTAACATACAAGACCAAAAAGTCAACAGTATACCTATACCTCAAGGTTGAACCACTTGGTAAAGGAAACAGGGAATGGTAACTAATAATATATAATTCATTGTGTGTAAGTAGTTATGGGAAACTTATGAAATGAAATTTATGAAACTCATGGGTAAGAATTGATGAGTAACTACCAATACTAAAGTAGTGAATAGCTACTTGTGGGTAACTGCAGATAGATAATTATATTTAGGCAATGATCATTTGCTATCTAGTTATGTGTAGCTAGACACAAACAACCAGTGACAAATAACTCGTTATTTAAAGCTAGCAATGATTAGAAAATAATGGATACATAGCATAGTTTATTTATAAACTGTAGCTAATGCTAGTAACTATTTTTTGATAAGTATTAGGTAACTATTTGTCCGTAAGTAGTGATATTTCACTAGTAGTTAGTAACTAATGATAAATAATTAGTGGTGAGTAATTAGTAATTGATAAGTAGTTGTGAGTTGCTAGTTATGGGTACCTAATGATGGTTTACTAGCTGTTGGTATCAGAAATTTGGGAACTCTTAATGACTAATAAGTAATATATTAGTAAGTATTGGTAAGTAATGTTTAACTAATAATCATCAACTATTACTTGCAATTAGAGATTGCTGACAAGTTGCATATAAATAGTAATATTTAACCAGTTGTAGTTAAGTAGTTATGATTAGCTAATTTGGATAACTAGCAATGACTCAATAGTAACTGAACACAAGTGATGAGGTATTGGTAACTAGAATTTCTTCTTGTTCATGATGAGAACCTCACCACACCTAACCAAGCCAAAACCCTAGAATACACTTGGCACAGGCTGAAAAATGTTGAGTTTCTCCATCTGGAATAGGCCAAAGGAAGAAGTAATCTTGATTTAAATTTGCACAGTCCACTATACCTAGAATGCAGAATGTTCATGCAGCAATGGAAGGAGGGCAAATGAGTAGTGAGCAGCTGACTGGACCGTATGTGCCCCAAGTAGCACCTATTCTAGTATGAGTGCTAGCAGGCTGAGGGATCTGAACTGGAGCCAAGAAACAGTGCTAGAGGTAAGCATCAGGGCTCCTTCAAACGTACCAGCATCAGCAACAGTGAGGTCCTGAGCTGCTCCAGCAATGAAGACAGCTGAGTTCCATCAGGAAATCTAATGTGGCAAGCTTCTCCATGAGGCTGAGAAGTGTGCCATCTTCTCTTCCTGTGCCAAGAAGTGAGGCTCAAGATGAGAAACAGAGCTCCTCCAAAGTTCATCGGGAAAGCCATCATTATACGGTCCTAGAGAAGAAAAGTGCAAGAGAACTAGCAGCTTCAAACAGCTCCAACATCTTCTCCAAACAGCAACCTTAACAATTTTCCAGTAGCTTTTCCTGTTCTGCCTTTTATGCTGCTGGCAGCAAACCTCATGTGGACCTCCCACACCCAGCAACATGCTAATTAAATTCAGCTGCGTGTAAGAAGTTGCCCACCAGTTAGCTATCTGCTACAGTGGCAGTCTGCACTTCGTTGATGCTGTAGACCCATTTCACAGCCTCTATCTCCTATGGGTAGCTGATAGGCAATTATATGATAGTTTGCAAACAGGGAATCCAGGTAGGTCCTACAAGATAACCATTAACCTGGGAAAAATGAAAGTCCTCTGCACAATCTATTCCCAGGTTTGGTGGACTGAATTTCATAAATGCTCTTTGTTATTTAGGAGCAACCTTTGCAATAGAAGCCAATGACAATTATGCATACACGCTGGAAAAGGGGCTGTCTCTATAGGAATTAAATAATCTGAAAAGAGATGATGACACACGGCCCATGTTTGGGGATATGCATGTCACTTACTCTGCATTCACATTTTTTACATGTTGATTGTGTTCTGGGAAACCTGGTCATTATAAAAATTAGGTTGAAGTAGAGACTTCAAGTAAACCATCATACTGGGCAAGGTGAAATAGTCAGAAAGGACTATGCATAGACATGCAACAGGCTATTGCAGTTTGCATCTCATAAAATCTTGCTGATCATTTTACAATCATATCTTTGCAGCCAAAGGGCCATTTCAAGGGGAATCTAAAAAGGAGAAATTAACCACAGATACTTGACCTGGGGCCATCATCAGCAATACAGTCAGGCACCATATGAGCGGTACAATTAAAGAGCAGAAACAAATTTTAATTGAAAGGAGAAAAGCAGCTAAAATTACAAGATGATAGTCCTTAAAATTCTAAGATATTCAACAAAAATGTTCTAACTCAAGAAATTAAATGTTTGATATTACAAATAATATGTCTCTTTATAAGATACAAAGGCATGAAAGCATAGTAAATAAAATATTCTACATTTTCAGAAAATTCCAACAAAAGTCAGGGATAAATATGACACCAACAATTACTACATATAAAATACTTCTATATAGTTTTTGCATGTTATGACATATATTGAAATAATACATAGATATGTCTCTCACATTAACAAGGGATAGTGATACGACACAACTAGAAATATTTATGCAATTCTTAATAGGAAAACTTACTATATCACCATCAAGGTATTCCCCAATTAACTTCTAAATTTTCTCTCTTTCATTCTATTTGTTGGTACAATATAGACAGAGAGATAGATAGATACATAGATAGATAGATAGATAGATAGATAGATAGATAGATAGATAGATGATAGATAGATAGATAGATAGATACATAGATAGATAGATACATAGATACATAGATAGATAGACTATATTCTTCATAGGGAACATAGCACATATCTTGATTCCTTTTTTCCCCCTAATCCCTTCTTCTCCCTAACATGTAAAATCAATATTTCCATTTTAAATTTAAGGACATTTACTATGGGATATTGCCAAGAGCCTTAGAATTCTAAAGGCTCTACTGAAGAGAAAACTCAGCAACATAAGGGCCTGCCTGGCAAGCTCAAAGACCCCAGTTTTATCCCCGGTACCACATGCTGTGCAGGCCCAAATCCGGGCTTGGAGAAAACCTTCATATGAAGCCAAATGTACCTAAATGAGGTAAAACCCAACCAATATAGGTTTCTTTGTGTTGGTTTCTTTGTGTTCCCCATTAGCCAACATAATCAGCAAACATTCTGTGTCTCACATACATATCTATGCAGACTCTATGTTCAATAATAGTAAATGGATAAATAAAAGGTGACACCTATACATAAAGGAATATTGACAGCTTTGAAGGACAAATCTGAGACATTTGTAGAAAAATAGGTGTGGCTAGGAAATATAACATAAAGTGAGATAAATCACATACAAGCCTAAATACCATGATATCTCTTAAAAGAGTAAAGCAAAATACAAAGATCAAAACAGAGTGACAGAAAGAAACAGACAGATCTGCTCTAAGTGGAAAAAGGTACAGGCGACCACGGGCAGAGAGAAACCATTTTGTAAGGGGTGAAGGCAAGTGAAGAGAAATGTAAAATATTTCAGGGACTCAAACCAAAGAGCCATAGATAATGTAAAAATTTATTGTCATAAACATGAAAAAAAATAATGAAAATGAAAGTAGAATTTTCAGATATGAAAGGAGGGAGATAAGTAAGGCCAGAGGAAGGAAATTTTTTAAAAATGTGTTATGTACATGCACCAACTCCCTAAGATGATTGTAAGCATCATATGTAACGAGTATTTACAAATAATACAAGAATTTGATTGTACAAGGGCTCAAAAAATGGTGAAAGGCAAATCAGAAATAATACCAGGCCACATTATAATTTGCTTTTTATATTACTTTTATTGAGAAACTAGCAATGAGATGGTTTCAAAGCAGGTTAGTAGGTCAGTTACAAAAATTAATACATTGCATATTGTCTTCGTAGCACTTATTCATAGTAAACGATGCAGCCATGACATCTTGTCTAAACACTATAAGTTCAAAACATTCTCCTTGAACTAAGTGAAAGTAGCTGTATATCTATCTTAACTATTTTGATATACAGATATACATTTCTTTCATTACAAAATGGCCCTTCATTTATATCCCCCTTTTGTTTAGTTTTTCAGAGATGGGTATCCCATTGCCATTCATATATTGTATGTATATGCATTCAGCAAAATAATCCAATATATTTTTCCAGCAGTCCATAGTATGTGTGGATTATCTACTTGACTGGCAATGTCAGAATTTGTTGACCTGAGTCCCCTATAGCTCAACTTAATAACATGGCTTCATTTTTTTGCTTTGTTTTAATACTTTTTGGCTGGATGGTTAGGACCAAGATAAAACACAACCTATATAACAAGAATTGTAGCTTTTGGATCTGATCATTTCAGTCAAATCCCCTCAGGATTTATGCTGAGACCCTATAACTCAGATTGTAGATCCTTTCTCAGTATCAGCCATGAGAATGAGTCAGAGCCATTGCTTGGCCAATTTGCTGTCCGTGAAAGCCTTAGAGAATGTTTTCTATCCATGTAACTCTCCTTAGGCACACTCTACATCATCAATCACTTTTTTTCTGTGGCCCCATTATCTCCTTGGTCAGAAAATTTGGGACACAACTGAGTTACACGATGTTACAATACAGATTCTCATATGTGCTGACTCTTAATTGACCTTGGAAGGCTAGGGCCAATATGTTGGCTTTCCTTGTGGCCCTCCTTTTTCTCTAATTTTTGATCCACAAACTTAGGTTGTTAACCCTCCAAAAGAGAAAATCATTGTTATTACCATATAACCGAGGCTGTGGAGCTTAACTTCACTATCTGTTTGAATATCAAACATGTTAGGCATAACATGGAACAGGTATTTTTCATCAAGTATTGATATGTTAAACTTTAAGTACTGACAGAGTATGACCAAAAACTTTAGAAAATTAAACTATATTTAAAAAACAGTAATAAAGAATTATATATGTTTACACATGAGTCCAGAAATCTAACCATATACAACGTAGTTGCAGGACAACACTCCTTTTCCAGTCTCCTTCTTTCATTCACCACTCTCTTCCTTTTTATACAGTCATGGAAACGACAGACGACACAGCAATAACTGGCGTTTCATGACAAGCATCACGTATTCAGAAGACCAGAATGAAAGGCACTCCAAGCATGAACCTACCATTACAAATTGCCACCTTCAGTGCAGTTGCTTAGTGCACAGGTATAGATAGTTAGTTAGGCTGAGAATCCTTCCAATTAGCTGCTAGATTCAAAGATCTTCTGAAGATTCTCAGGAGCATTGCCTTACCCATCTTGTATACATAACTCTATGGCTTTCTTTGGTCGTGTTTACTGGCTCTTCGCCTTGCTCTCGCTTCATTGTCTAGTCCTCAAGTTCTTGATTTTCTTTTAATTGTATTATACCTTTCTATTTGTATATTTTCTTTTGAGTTCTTATACTACGGAATCTATATAATACTTACAAATGTGTGTCTGGTTTATTTCACTTATAAGTATATCTTCAAGTGTCATCCACTTAAATGTAAAGGCTTCAAATTTACCATTCCTCAGATGATGGGCATCTTGGTTCTTTCCAAGATTTGTCTATCACAAATTCTGCTGCTATAAACATAGGCACAAATACATCACTATGATATGATGTTTTCAGATCCTCTGGGAAAATTCCCAGTAGAGGAATAGCTAGCTGGTTCAAAGGGGATTTCCAGTAAAAGTTTTCTAAGGAATCTCCACACTGATTTCCATAACAGTTACACCAGTCTACATTCCCACCAGCAGTGGAGGAGTGTTCCTTTTTCCCCACAACCTCTCCAACATTTATCGTTGGTCGATTTATTTATGATAGTCACTCTTGCAGGATGAGGTGAGATCTCAATGTTGTTTTAATTTACATTTCATAGATGACTAGTGATGTGGAGCCTTTTTCATATATTTATTCGTATCTTTAATTTCATCCTCTGGGCTGGTGAGATGGCTCCGTGGTCTAAAGCACCTACTTAGAACAAGCTTAGAGACCCAGTCCTAGCCCAGGTTCGGTGAGTGTGCGGAGAGTTTCCTGCTACCCTGCGCCGGCGGGACCAGTCCCAGCCCAGGCTCAGCGTGGGCCGGACCCTCTCCCAGCCCCTCGGGCCGCCCCCCACCACTCCTCAGTGCCTCCCCCACCCCGTCCGCCGAGTAGGATTTTTTGCCAAGTTCCGGGAGCCCCCAGACCCAGTCCTAG